GTAATGCCATACCAGAAAGAGTTCCAGGGTGGTGGGGGCGGGGAGATCTGAAAGCCAACCCCAATTAAAAAATTGTATACACTGACAGTATATAGACAGTATACAGTGGCGTTCAAGAAGCACCATCCTTATCGGAAAGGTTTGTGCTTTAAAATCTGTCTGATTGTTTTCCATTTCATGCGAACAAATGTGTGTTCTGGTCAGAAGATCTAATTTCCCCTCCCCTGCCCGGTAAATGGAAATGAAACCTGTACCTTGCAATCAACATTTAGGATTTCTGAGGAAAGGCAGGAAAAGCAAAAAAACTTGCAGTGATTTATTAGCCTCATTTTATGGGGTTTTTGTCACAACTTTGGGACATCTGGTTTCTTCTGATTGACAGCAGGGTTATATGTCTTATCATTAAAAATATGTTCTGAGGAAATGCATGCTCTCACTTTGCTGCTTCTGCAACTGTGAAGGCTTTTGTTTTCACTGCCATCTCTGGGAAGATAATCTCTACAAAGAGGCTCCGATATTGACCTGTCGTATCACGTGTTGCTTATCAAGCACTAAAGAAATTGAATTTCATTTTATCTGTTATCTGGAGCGTCTTATTAAATCATCCTGCAGTTGAGAGGTGCTACGGGGTCAACAGGTTCAGTCTCTTTTGCCATCTATCCCTGGATTATTACCCTTCGGAGAATCATGAAAGCTGTTCTTTATTTTATCCCATAAAGTTGGGTTAAGTCTTCTTGATCCATAAATTGTTGCGAGTGCGTGCCATGTGCATGTAATTCTTTTACTTAATGCAGTTTCTGAATAAGGAATGAGGACTTGGTAATGTGTCTAAGTGTAGAGGTCTCTTTTAGTATTCTGTTTTTTCTGTTCTCTTGATATTCTCCCAGTGCCTCTGGTTTTAATTGGTTCAGTGAGAGTAAAAGCAGTCAGATCAGATGATGGATCTGAGTCAGCTTGGTAGTATTAATTTGCCAAGAGATAAAGGGAGGGTGACAAGGAGGAAGATAACAGGGTTGGGTATTGCCAGGCACTGAGAGCAAAGGGCAGAGAGAGAAGCCGGCCATAAGGAGAGGTGGGAATGGGGTGGGGGTGGGGGCAGCAGCCCGTGGGCAGGAAGGGTCTGGCAGAAGGGAGCCTGCCCTCAGCGGCGGGACGCAGGAGGTTATAAAGGTCAACCCTGCCACCACCACCACCTCATCCATATGCCTTTTTGCCATGTTTCTATCGGAAGACGTGACTCTGCCAGTCAGGATGTTCGTGTTTAAGGGCTTGATAGAGTCACACTGATTTTCCTGCAACAGCAGAAGCCCTAAGTACTTTCTGCTATCACCTCAAAGAACTGCCTCCAGTGTTAAATATATTTTCTGCTGGAGAATAAGACTTGAAAATACCCCCTCCCCAAAATTTTAATTTTAAATACAACATTTAACTCAGAATATATGCTGTTTCACTCAAATCCAAGCTCTCAATCAAGAAATCTTTCAAAATGAATAAGCCAAACTATTGTTTTTCAAATAACTTGTCCTTATGCTCAGATACTCACTTAGTGTCTGGGCACTGTTACACTTTTTCAAACTTGTTCTAAGAAAATCTGCAAAAAACTCTTTTAAAAAAGAACTGGAGTCGAGGACCAGAGTTAGCATTTTGGTGGAAGCGCTGGCAAATAAAGTGTAAATGAGCTCTCAAACTGCTGCTGCTAGCTGATGCTGTCTGGTGGCCAGGGCACCGGTGACCGGGAGCTGGGTACCGTTCAGTTTTCCTATGGCCCTGGCAGTAAATCACCCTGTAGCTCTGAACAAGCTATTAACCTTTTTGTGTCTCTTTCTCCTTGCAGAAAAGGATTAACACCACTTACCTGTCTCACAGGGGTAATTGGTAGATTAATGTTTGGAAAATATTAAGTGCTTTCTGCTATTATTATTGAAACTCCAGCTGATGGGTTAAGAAATGAACAGACAATTTGGGAGCATCTTATTTTTTCCCTCTTTGGGATAGGGTACCCATCTGACATGAGTAATTGAACAAAGTGAGAAGTCATGGGCTTGAACGTCCATGTATTCCACATAAAAGTTCTGGGTGTGACTGAAAGAGGAAAGGTGAGAAAACAACAACTGGGAAGACAAGATGTAGATTGGTATACTGGAATTAGTAGTACTGAAAAAGTATCCAGAGATTGGAAGAGAATGCATAAATTTAAATTAAATCCCAGTTGGATTAAGAAAATGTTTTGGTAAAATGCAAACCCTAAAGCGTGATGGGGAGAGGGAAAAACAGCAGATGAGCACTTCTGTTTGCCCCCATCAAGAACAAAGTTGTTCTTAATGAGATGCTGGGGGTTTTGGGAAGCCTACTCAAAAATTCAATAGTGTTTTATCTGAGAAAAATAATTATTCGAAGATTGCTTTCTACTGAGGTGTTGCAGATGGAGGCTTTGTGGTGTGGTAGTTTAAAACAATTGGTCTTTACCTCTAGAGATCCCAGAGACGAACGTTGCCCAGAAGCAAGAGTAAAATTGTGTTTTTAAAGCATCATTTTAGGAGCAGTGGGACAGTTGGCAGAGTTTACCAAAGCTGTTGAGAGACTCTGCAGACTTTAATTACCATCTCAATATTGCAGAAGTTGTTTAATTTCTGCCAAAGAAGAGAGTAGTTGTGAGAAAGCGAGATCACACTCTGTCTTTCATTCTTTCTTTTTTGACAGGTGAATAAAGGATGCTTTTCAGTATCTCCTCTGATACTGTGACACATTTGTAAAATTTGCATAGAATTGTAAAATAATTTTTCTTTAAGATTAACAAAGCTTTTACTTTTTTTTCTTCTCATTTGAGAGTGCCGTACAGCATAGCGTGAATACGGTCTTATGCCTTGTCGTGAAAGAAGCAAGATGTAAACGGGGTGCGTTTTCTGTTACTGATCAGTCAGCTTCAGGCATTAATAGTTTCAACCTTCATGGCCACACAACATGGATTATGTTGTGTTTATTTTGGAGGTTCCAATAAGTTTTGAATTCAGGTTTGAATTCCATCTCTGGTGTGGGTGGTTGAAGGCACAACCCGGATTAGTAGAATAAAGAGGAAACTATTAAAATGAGAAGGATCAATCAATTTTAGAAGGAAAAAGAAGCCTATAATACAAAACTTCCTTGGTGAAGGATATGTTTACTCTGAGGCCTCAAGCTCTAAATCAGAATATGTATAACTAGGTTTTTTACTGTCACTCATATAAGAAAAAGGGCTGCTAATCTTTTTTTTCTCTTCTAGCAGTTCCCTTCTTCAGTGACACCTGAGTATGTTCCATGTTTTTCCAAGTGCTTGCAGTAGCCAGGGAAATACTGATTCTTTGAAGACTCTTACCAGCTCCTTCAGTAGATCTACTGTGTTACCATTCTTTTTTTTTTTTTTTTGACTGCCTCATACCCATCTGTACTTGCTAAAGCACCAGCCATTGTTTACTCTATAAAATCCCTTTTTTCCTCCTTCTCTTCAAGTCTGTTATCTCTCAAGGACCTTTTCAATGCTATCTTTCAGCTTCAGGTCCCTATTGTCACAGTATACAATGTGTTCAGAAAGCTACTGCCCAGGAAGTCTACTTACTCATTTGTATTTTTTGCCATATATATGATAAATCGGTGCTTAAGGGCAAAGGGAACATGCTTGTTCAAAACCCAGAAAGGGAAGGGTAGCTCATGGAAACAAATAGGCACAATTTTTAATCCTTAACACTCATCATGTTACTAGGAATACCTTTATGTTATATTTAGAACTCGGTTGTTTTGGTGTTTGAAACTAAATGTTTGCAGTTTGTCTGGCAAACTGCAGGCTGAATAGATTACACTGATTCACATTTCCTTATTTCAATATACCATCTGTGCTTTTGGCTGGTTCTTAGCCTGGTTGGGACTCTCGTTTCATAAATGCAAGTTGCAAAGAACTATTATGGCCAGAAAGAGAAATCCTGTATTTCCCTTCCTTGAATAATCTCGACTGTTTTGACCTTACTCTAGCAAGGACGCGAGGCTGAAGCTGTACCTACAGCAGGCTTTATTTTCTCTGGTGAAGAAGGATGTATTAGCAGGGTATAAAGATCCCCTTGGTATATTTCCAGTGAAACTCTAGTGTATATATAGTCACGGTCATGATTTTCATTGTGTAATCATTTTAATTAAGTTGAACTATAAAAGTTAGTCTTGCATGAGGAATGAATGCACTTGAGAGACAATGAAAGATTGATGGTGGCTTGGGGAGCATCATGCACTCTACCGGTGGAAACGCATGTATGGAGAGCAGCTGAGTTTGGGTAGCAGGTCAGAGATTACGGGCTGAGAGCAATGTCTGGGCAAAGTTTTGGGGATCCGAAAGAAGCGGGATGAAATGGGAATATCCAAAAGAATTTTTGGTAATATTTCTGAGGGGTTTTGCTCGAATGAATGGCTTCATTACTAAAATAATAAACATTAATTAATATCTGCATCATTTTTGTAACTGCTAGCTTAGTAAGGTAATTAGTATAATTAGTATACAGTGTTGCTTGGTGGCATGATAAATCATAGTGTAGTGAATGTTGACTCTTTATCACTGTGATGTATTATCTAATTTATGGAGGCAAAAAAAAAGGTAAGGGGGAAATCAAGAAGGGAAGCCAGTGGTGACAGCTGGATGGCCTTTCGGTCACTCTTGTTGCATCTGCTGCCTGTATTCTCAATTGCTTTGAATTGCTGCACTGTTAATTAGCAATTCTTTTTCTCACTGTTGCTAAGTCTTAATCACTGATTGAAACCTGCAAAGAGTGGTCAGAGAAGAATGAAGTAAAAAAAACCAGAGACTGGCAGGTTTTTTCCCTTCGGGGTACTTTTACAAAGGATGATACTTCTTCCAGTAATAAGTCTGTGTTTGTTGGATATCTCCTTTGCTTTCACATTCCTGGAGGCATCATCTACCAGTTACAGTTCAGTGCAAGGGTGAACGTTAATTATGTTTTTCTTCATTATATTCTGTTTTCTAGAACCTATGAGAACACCAAAAACATTGAAGATTGCTGAGATCCAGGCCAGACACATCGCTGTGGATTGGGAATCTCTGGGTTACAACATCACTCGTTGCCACACTTTCAATGTCACTATATGCTACCACTACTTCTGCGGACACAACGAGAGCAAGGCGGACTGCTTGGACATGGACCCCAAAGCACCCCAGCACGTTGTGGATCACCTGCCTCCCTACACAAATGTCAGCCTCAAAATGATCTTAACCAACCCAGAAGGGAGGAAGGAGAGCGAGGAGACCATTATCCAGACAGATGAAGACGGTATGTGTAAATGCTGTTACGGAAATTACATCCAAGTCCAGTCTAGACGGGTGGAAGGAAATCACTTTGTGTGTTACCATATGTGTCCCGAAGGACGCAAGTTCTCTTCTATTAATGTATTAATTAGCCCTAAACCAGTAGCTTTATAAGTATTATAGCTGTCACCCTGCATACATAGCTCAAATTGTCCATGTAGCGCAAGTCAAACTCAATCTCTCACAAGAAAAAGGAGGGTGGCTTCCCAGTCATTCCAAAAATGTACTAACACAGGTGACAAGAAACATGTGGTGGTAGGTGAAGGCTTCTTCACAGTATTAGGTGTCGTATTTGAAAATTAATTTAAATTTACATTTATATATTGAGCTCAGCACTTAAAGACTCTATGCAAGAATTAAAACCTCTTCAGCAAATATATTTGAGCAATAATTTGTTGTGGGTTACAGTGTATAGTATCTGTTAACTGTTTGAAAGTTAATCCATCAGATTAAAGTATTATTTTGACAACTTGGGAGTTGGACTCAATGATCTTTATGGGTCCCTTCCAACCCGATATTCTATGATCCTCTTTAAAATGCTCTCAGTGAAGTTTCGCTGACAAGACAGTTGAATTTACCTTAGTTGGGAAGAAATAAAGAATAGATGTAGATGTTAATGGTGACATTCAGTGGCTAGAGATTAAAATAGGTATTTTTCCTTAATATTATTTAAAATGTGTCAGTAAAGAGCAATTTTAGTTTCCTTTTCTTATATTTAGATTTCATAAAAGTATTGACAATAACAAAATGAAAATAGATACTGCAATCAGTAACAAAAAAAATAATGCTTGGACTAACGTAAGAGTGTAGATACTTAAGATAAAATTGTAAAAGGTAGTGTGTTTGCCCGTAAAATGGGAGAGAGAGTATAGCTTTATATATGGATAGCAATCAAGGTTAGAATCTCTTAGCATTTTTTCCCATACATTTTCAGTTTTACAAGAAACAGAAGAGGAATATGTTTACTGTTGCAGTAAAGAAGAGAGAACAACTTATTAAATAGGTAGAATATGAGGGTGACTCAGCACTGGAACAGGCTGCCCAGGGGGGCTGTGGAGTCTCCTTCTCTGGAGATATTCAAAGCCCGCCTGGACGAGGTCCTGTGTAACATGCTCTAGGTGAACCTGCTTTAGCAGGGGGGTTGGGACTAGATTGAGGTCCCTTCCAACCCTTGCCATTCTGTGATTCTGTGTGATTCTGTGAGCTGTAGAGAACTATGGAGACATATATGCATCACGTGAAGATTTATTGACAAGTGTAGAATTAGAATATTTCATGCAATTCAAATTTTAGCATTACTTTTTAAAAAAGTTAATTATAAATATAATCCACAATGAATTATTTCCATCTCTGTGTTTACATTATAGATATTTGCGATTGCTATTTTCCTTGAGGTTAAAAAAAAAAAGTAGTAGTAGTAATATTGTTATGATCTGTGTTTACATTATAGATATTCACGATTGCTATTTTCCTTGAGGTAAAAAAAAAAAAAAAGTAGTAGTAGTAATATTGTTATGTCCATGGAAAATGGATTTCTTTTTCTTTCTAACTTGAGTTTTCAAGAAAGGTTATGGTTTCTGATAGCCTTTATGTAGTTAGATGTGCAGACGCAGTGGCTGGTCACTCTAGCGGTGCTTATCAAGAGCAGAGTCAAGTGCATGTATTTGGATTATGCTTGGAAAATGGTGAACACAAGGCAGGTTTTGGTCTCAAGGTGGCACACCAGTGTGCTATCAGTGAACTTGTTTAGACTCAGCTTTGGTGTCAGAGATGCCATAGTGTAGAAGAAGCCTCACCCAGTGAACAAAAGTCACTTAGATAAACTATTTCAAGCAGATGTTGTTTTCAAGGAGGGATTAATGCATTTTAAAAGGTACCTATATTTAGACACACTGGTGGTAATACTGCTTGTGACCTGAAAATTCCCTCTTGTGAGGTCTACTCGGTGATACTATTGGATATTGCATATACATTGGATATATTTTGGATGGCAGTGTTAGGTTCTAACAGTTGGACTTGATGATCCTCAAGGTCTTTTCCAGCCTAAATGATTCTATGATTCTATATTAAGTGCAGATTTTTAATTGTACGTTACTGATTGACTTGAAAGTCTATGTCCATTTTGTCATGTGTTTCAAAATCCAGAGTGTGCACGCGTGCAATACGGAGGGCTCTCAGCCATCTCAGAGGATCAAAGGTGTACTCTCACCTACGTCTCTCTTTGAGCTCTCATAGCAGTAGTAAACCGAGTTCTATAGTTGACTGCCAATGTGTATACTGCTAGTTTAGTCTCATGTCCAAGTGATCAAGTGTCGTAGGAAAATGTTTCAAAACACTTTTTGTGGCCTAAAGCAGGACTCAGACTAAGAAGATGAGCACTACAGGGAGATACACGAGTCTGCGCCCCACATATTTCACATGTGGTCAGAAGTAGCCTCGTTGCCATGAAGATTTTCGCATGTTTTGTAGAATGAGCATGATGTTAATTACATAGCAGGGGCATTATCAGCGATTCATTTATGAGAAAGAAAACAGAGGGATCACGGTATTTTCCTACATCTTTGCAAACAACGTTAATTAGAAATAGCCACTGATTACATGATTATCTGAAACTGTTCACTTAGGCTGTATACTTTTCGTAAACAGAAGCTTTGAAAACTCCATAGGAGAGCAACAGATAATTACCTTTTTGTCAGCTTTTCTGTAGTGCCGTTTTCTTTCCAGTGCTGTTCTTTCTTGCAAGGATCTGGTAATCAAGTGAAAATTTTATAGGCCGTTGGAGTTAAAGGTGTCTACCCCATGTTTTCTTGTCTCTCTTTGTCTTTACCATTTTGCCCTCATCTTCTGTTGCTTTGTCCATCTTCCCCATGCTCCCAGCTCTCTGTCCCTTACTTGTCTTTTTGTTGTTGTCGTCTTTTAATCTTTCCCTTCATCTCTATTCTTCTTCCATTTCACCTCTTCCATTCTGCTAGGAGCTTTACACATATTTGAACTTCTAGGATTCCCTAAATGCAGAGGATCTCAGACTTTTACGGGGCCCTGGTGTGAGACAGTGAGGATCTCTGGTTGTCTTTCAAAAGGTTCACACTTATATAAGGCTGCATAGCTGGGCCAGACCTCCCAGAGTGGGGAGTGATAACTGAGCAGTGTATGGTGCCAGGAGCAGAATTAACTTGGAGAAAGGTTAGCAGAAGAAAAGGGTAAGATTCAGAAGCTGTACTTCAGACCTTTGGAGCCATGACTGATAAATGAAGAAGGTTTAAATAGCTTGTCATTCAGTATCTGCAAGAAAGCAAAGCTGGGAATGTCAATCTGAAAATAGCCTCCTTTCTGACCAGGGCTAGATCTGAATACTTCATAGTTTTAAGTATTTCTATTTAACTTAGATAGGCGGAATTAATCTTTAAGTATATCACAGTAATTTGCAAAGAGCTGTATTCCACATAAAAATAAAGCCCTTGAGCAATACTCTGTTAAACAAGTTGTGCAAAAAGAAGATGGAAACAAGGAAATTTGTCAGTGTTTTATGGGTGAAACACTATCTTTCACTTTGGGGAGAGACCACACCATCACTGAGAGTCAGGAGAAAGCTCTTCTGAGTACCTGGGAACGTGGCGTTATCTGTGCCATGACAGGGACTCGCTGCTTCACCTGGCTTGTACAGGAGATGGACAGTGTTTGAAGGATCTGATAAAGGAAAAAGAGGAAGGCTCGCACAATCCGGGGATGCATACGTGCTGGGCAGAGTTGATGTTTGGCATTTCGAACAAAGTACAAGAACCAGCAGTGAATTTCTCACTTAGCATGAATCAGCAGCGTGCACACGCTCTCGGAGCTGCCTGTTCACAAGGGCTCTGCGAACTCAGAGGGACCCTTTTAAGAGCAGCGGATGGTGAATGGGATTAAAGCAGATAAATGCTTCCTTAATTTTTAATTGGAAACAGATGCAAAAGGCAGTGGATTAACAGGAATAGTGACATTATCTCTGAGAGAGCAGCTACGGAAAAAGCAAATCGTGAAGCTCACAGTGTTTGATGGTGATTTTACAACTAGTAAGGGAGTGTGTCAGCTAACAGCAGGCAAACAACTAATTGAAAAAGATCACTTGGAGCAGGAGAAGTACCCATTTTGGGGCTTAACGTATACCAAGGCTTTGGTCTGAGCCAAAGGACACGCTCACTGGACACAAACGAGGGCCCCTGATCTTTCAGCGAGTGCGGCCCATTCAGCTCTGCACAAAGAGATCTAGAGCTGGGATGCAGGGTTAAGGCACCAACTGTCCAACCATTGCTCATGCTCCTGGGAAAACTCCAGCAGGCTCACCACGAAGGGAAACAACAGAGAAAGGGAGAAATGTTATTGTTAAAGGACGAAAAAATTAGAAATATTTAGTGTACTTTCTAAATGTGTGAAGAGGAAGTACCTTCCACCAATTTTGAGGGAGGATTTTATGGAAATAGTTAACTTTTAGTATTTGTTTGTGTTTGATAGTAAGGCTGTCAGTTGCCTTTACAAAAAAAAAAAAAAATTTTTTTTTTTTCCCCCATTCACTATTTGATACGGGAAACACTTTTCCTTTGTGCTTTTTCAAATTGTTCTGGCACTTCAGGAAAATATTGGGGAGGAAAAAAGAGGAGGTAGAAAATATGCTTCGATCAAAGGAAATGAAACAAACACATGGTGCTTCAAGGAGCTTTGGAAAAAGATAGGTATAAAACTGTGCTAGTAGCATTATAAAAGTAACAAAAATAGCCCACCTGGGAGAGAAGTTAATGCAGCGAGATGAGCGGGCACTATGTCCCATGCTGCAAAGGAGGGCTGCAAAGATTGTTTGAAATGGCAGCCTATCTTGAAAAATGTGTAACTTGCCTGGCCAAGTGACATGTGCATGGATGTCAAGTGACTCCGGTACACTAACCCTATTGGGAAAAAACTGGCAAATGATTGCAGTTAATAGAGAAGCCC